GGGTGAGTGGGTTAGAAAGCGTACTATGGACCTGGACGAATCTTTCCAGTGTCGATGGCTCAAGTGAGGATGTTGAGGATATCGAGGATATGGAGAAACATAATCTCTGAAATCATGAGCTACGGATAGCGTAAGAGCCAAGCAGCAAACCACTGGCCACAAAACAAAGAGGGATAAATTGCAAAAAGGTAGAAAGAAGCCGAGAACTAGCAACAATGATGGGGTCAGTGTTTAGTTGGTTGCTAGAGTTCCAGTGCTAAAAACCACATCAACCTGAAGTCCACCTTGTCTCTACGAGAAAGGGCTGTCGAGAGTACTTGAGTGGTGGTGCTTTGCGGCAGAGAACGAGGGCTTGTCCTGTCCAAGCCTGCTCCCCATGTCTAGATTGGACGGGAGAGTGAGGAACTCGTCGGGGACGGGCTCGACATGGGCAGAGACAGAAGAGATGATGGACGTGGACAGGGGCATGGGGCCATTGGGGAGAATAAATAAAAAGTCATCCATACCATGCCAAATTCAGACTATTATCGACAAGGGCGACAAGGGCCGATGGAGAGCCAAACGTAACCTCATCAACCGCAGGCTTGTAGAGAGTGGTCCATCGACGGACACCATACCAATACCACGAGCAAGACACGCCGTGGGCCTGGCTTTGGCCTATCTTGAGCCCTTGAAGCCCTGGAGGCCCTGGAGATGATCGTTGACGACGGGTTTCAGTAATAATAACGGCAATGGTAATTAGTTGCCTTTTCGAGCACACATGACGAATGGGAGTCGACAACCATGGGCCGTGAAAATCCCGCTAGTTTGCCGAGGGTATTGTAGGTATGTAGTGAGCAAGTACCTAGCGCTTGTTGGAACTGACTTGTAAACCTGGACTTCTTTGACGCTTCATGAGAGGTAAAAGAGAGAGATTTCCAGAGCTATCTGCCAGTTGCCGGCCTCGACCACTTGACAAATTTTTTGGTTGGGTCCCCGTCTTGCGGTGAGGCCCAGACGCCAAATCGCGGACGGACTCGGGAGGGACGAAGACAACCTCAACGGGGATGGCGGGAACTGCCCGGATGGAAGACGGCCGGGTGCCAGAAGCTGCAGTGCTGCAGTGAAGCGAAGCAGAAGAAGAACGGGGCCAGAAGACGGGAAGATCTGACAATGTCTTTCGGTTGAGTTTGAGCTATTCCCCAAAGAAAAGAAGAAAAAAACCTGAGACACGGCGCCCGGTGACCGAGTGGAAAGGAAGGGGCCGCGTGCTAAGAAATTGGAAGTGGAAGGCACCACCACCACTGTCCACCAGAGCAATGCTCATGATGTACCAGGTACTTTCCAGTGGTATATCATTTCCATAGGTTGGTATCCGGAATTCAAACCTCTCATACGTCTGTAATAGGCAGTCGCATGGCAGTACGGGCAATTTGCAAGTCAGTAAGCATTGGATGGCCGGCCAAGGTACTCCGTGCTACCACACAGACCCCCCATTGTCATACGGGCTTGTTACGGTAATTGTGTATGTTTTCTTCCAGACCGGCATGGAAGCCACTGACAAAGGAGCGGGCGGCGCGGGAAAGGGAGGGAACAATCTGGATTCTAGACCAAGAAAAAGAAAATTCAGAGACATTCGATGCGTTGACAGGCGAACCATCGACCACAATGGCTCCATCTGTCGTTATTAATATGAATATCCGCACTAGAGGTCCATCAGAAATTTCTGACGGAAGAAATTTTCGAAATTATTTAGAAAATTTCAGAAAAAATGGGATAAATTTCCATAATTTCAGCCCACGTGACTGATAAATGGTTGGTTTGGGGTGTAGTTACCACCCACAATCAAAAGTTTTAGTACTGAAATTGCTAAAATTGTTGAATATCGCTGAGTTTCTTAATTTTACTAGATATATGTACAAATGTATTTTTAGTATTTTCTAACTGTATCTAACGATACTCCCTTTTTAATTATTGTAAAGGTTCTACGAGATATACACGCAGGTAGGCATTGGTGAAAGTGGTAATATTTGACAAAAAGGGAAAGGAAAGTCTGTTCCAGTATGGCATAGAGCTTACAGCTAAATACACAAGAGAGGTGCGGATATTGAAGGTGCCAGAAACGCCAAGGTCAGAAATGTGGTTCGTACGGCGCACCCTAGGAGTGTACTCAACCGGAGGGCAGGCCTAGCTTATATAGGATTCAAGCCAGGCAGATACCCCTGGACGCTAGCTCTATGACAATAGTTTATTCCGCTTTCTTTACGTGGATTTTAATCCTTTGCTTGTATGTGCTTATAGAACTGGTCTTCGATTTGCAATAGAAGTTTGTTTTCTTATATAAGAATTAAACTTGCAAATAACTAGTATAAGTTTTTAAATTTTATACCATTTATATCAAACATTGTGGCTATATTTATTTTATTATTAGCGAGTTAGTTATACTATAAGTTTTTGAAATGATTTATAGCGGAGAAAGCTTTTTAATAAAGTACGTTATTAGTCAATATACTAAATATTTGTATAGCTAGCCGTACAATGAGTAAATCATTATCAGCGACTATAGCTTATTACAATTTAAAATTAAGATTAATATATTGAAAGAGCTTATTATTTGATTTATAAAAAGCTTTATACTTATTAAATATAAAGAATATGATGGCAGCCCTGCAGTTGTGCCTCTCGACTGCCATCGCAACTATATAAAACCGCTTGAGCAACTGAATTGCCAGCTTCGGTTACTTGTATCCTTTTGGAACATAGCTTAGTGATGTAGTGGTCCGCCAGCGCCGTGACAAAGAAGTCCGCAATAGCTTATTTTTTAGTTATATTATTCAGGATAAAAATATATCAATGTAGATAAGTTAAGGCAATACTATTAGTATTTTGGATTAGGAGTTAAATAGGTTCAAATTTTTATTAGATAATCGTTAAGTATAAAAGGAACCCAAATCAATTAATAGGAATTAATTGCTCATATTTTTTATAACGTAAATTTTTAATTTTTTAGTTTAATGTTCTATTACAAAAGAATGACGAAAGTACTAATACTATTCTTATATATCAATCCAACGAGAAATAACGTAGCTGACTGACGTTTTCATTTACTTCTAATATCAAAACTCCGTAGAGTAGTACTAAGAAGCGTTCGAATACGCTAAGAGTATATTAGAATTAAGTATTTTTAACAATTTCTATTACTTATATAATTTTAATACGAGTGGTTCCGTTATCGCTAGCGGCGGTAGCGGCGGCAACGCAGTGTACGTTGTATTAATACTAATTATAAAACCGAATTTCTTTTGCGAAAGCATATAATACAAGTAAGGTACGTTGAATAAAAGCAACTAATCGATATTTTAAGCTCTATTGAATAATTATATTCATTGAATTAACTCATAGTATAAAATGAATATTAATGTAATAAATTTATTCCCTAAGTAAAGAAACTAGGTATCTTACCATGGTATAAAAATATCAATATGCGTAATTATAAAAATTGCATTTAGAAGCGCAAAAGTAATTAATAATTAATTTTATATTTTAGCTTGGCTTCTTGAATAGTAGTGAATTAATAAATGTTTTCATTGATAGTTGAAAAGAATATAAATTTTATAAAACTATAAAAGATATTTTAAAGAGGTTGTTAAATCGCTTTTGTATTACGCGTTAGGCAGCGTTAAATACATTAGTAATGCAGTATTTAATTTGAATTAGTAAATTAATTATTTTGTTATTAATGTTAGTGATACAATTAGCAAAATTT